TGGAGCACTTGTAGTGCCTTCTGAATAAACACTGTCTATTTATTCAATCAGCAGTCCATCCCTGGAGGGTATATTCCTGATTAGGACAGCTGATCACCCTTCAGGTCTAGCTTAAGGCATACCACCCAAGTTGTATCACTGTCTAGGCTAAAGAACTTCAAAGTGGAAAACAGACTTCATGATGTGGCTTCTACGCTTTCTTTTCACTCCATCTCTCTTGTCACTGTAAGCACTATGACGACGCATGCTTTGTGGTTCAGTAATTTTATTGCATGGGGATCTTCGGGCTCCTAGTAATCCAGGCACTGGACTGTACTCAGGTACAAGGAAATAGAGAGGGACCAATCTTCCCAGAGATTCCCTCTGCAAGAAATCTGTTAGACCTGCCGTTTCTCAGCTCGGGGGGCAAAGGCACACAGACAGGCTTTCCTCAAGGAGCTCCGGGGCCACCTAACAACCCTTGTCAGGGACCAGTGGCCACGGCTTTCCTGGAATAGGCATGGCAGTGCTTGGCTTCCTCTCCCAGAATATGGTTGGGATTGAGGGAAGAGGTTCCAAACCAGGGACTCTGATCAGCAATTGACCTTTCTTATAGCTTCTGTGTGATTTGTGGGGCACACAGATTTTGGGAGGATGGATTTCCTCATCTCCAGGACTCTGGAGCTGTCTCTTCTGGACTACTAAACAAGGGAGGTGTAGACTGGTCATATTTCATTCAGTGAAATGCTTGGAGGTGTCTTCTGACCTTCTCAGAACAGCACCTTTTAATTCAGTTCTTTTTTTATTTAAACTCAGACACACTGGTGGGAAGCTTGCTTCTCCTGGGATGGTCACTTACTTAGAAACAGCTGCCTGAACCAGAGAGAAAAATAGATAAATACAACCTTCTTCTTGGAGTGGGTCTGGAGGTCCATGCTTACATCTCCAGGTAGGCAGACGATGTTGCTGGTGGGGGTGGGAGAGGGGACTGAGAGGCGAGTACCTTCAGGATGACATAGCAAAGTCATGGGAGGGCTTTTGAAGTGACTATAAGGGCTGAAAGGGCGATAAGTTAGTCCATCTCCTTAGGATGGCCTGAGGATGACAAATCGTAAGACTGCAATCATGCCCATAGCTCTTAAGAAACAGAGAGTTCTGGTTACTTGAAATTTCTGGTGTACTCCAGAGCATCCTTTTGAGTTTCAAACATTCTTGAAAATTCTATGCTGGAGAAAGAAGCGGAGGAGCCTAGCAGGAGCGGTGCAACATGAGTGGAGTGTGAGAAAGGAGCCCCAGCGTGAAGGAGGAACCTGGAGAGCTCAGAGTCACTGTGATGGCCATGAACACTGGTTGAGTGGCAGGGAGGGTGCGAGCCAAGCATGGAGCCCCACTGGCTAGCCTGTGCTCCAGGCCCAGCCTCCAAGGGGCTCCCAGCCTCGCGGGGGTTTCTAGGACTCCCAAGGCCTGAAGTTCTGAGCAGCCGGTCAGAAACTGAGTCCTGAAGAGGCGTGAATGGGTTGCAAGGAGATCCAGCATTTGCTTCTCTAGAAAGATGAAAACGAAGTGCTCCTGTGTTGCTTGCCCAACTGCTGGCACTCCAGGGCAGCTCCACACCCAGACAGCCCAGAGCCACACCCAGTCCGCTCAGGCGCCCTCCACGCCTCTGGCTGGCAGTCCCCGAAACAGAGGCCAGGCAGGGGTGGGCATTGGGCATTGCCGATATGGTCATTTGCATCCTTTGTGCATCTTCAAAGGGTAAGAGAAAAGCTGAAACCACATCTAGGTTTGGGAATTCGGAATCCCTGATGTCGAAAAGGCAGTAAGCTTCATTAGTGCCACCTTGACACTCACCAATGAGATAAAAATGTTCATCAGGACTGAGAAATAAGATTTAACATCATTGTATTTATTAGGTTCTGAAACAATACACATTCACATCCTTTTGAATACAGTACATTTGGCACAATAATGTTTACAATGAAATAACACTAATGAATGGCAAGAGATTAGAATTACATCCAGAAAGGGAAAAAATGTACAAATAAAGCATCACAATACAAAAAAAAAATCCCTAAAGTTGAATACATTTTATATTTAGCCAGAATTATTTTGCACATAATTTAAAAAGAGGTAATTTTTTAGCCTTCTTTTTTTTTTTTTTTTTTTTAAAGCAAGAATGCATTGTTTTTTCCACCTTTGCAGGAAAAAAAAAAAAATGTTTCCACTTCACAAAGTCCATTATGAGAGAACACAGGAGAACAGCTATCCTTCATATATTTTTTTGGCATTTTTTGCACTCCCATCCCCCCCCCTTTTTTTCTTGAAAAAAAAAAAAAAAAAAAAAGAGTGAGTGAGCGACCTGGAAAGATTAGAAAGACCTGGCAGAAATGAAACAGTGTGTCTGCTTCCAAACTCCTGTGAAAGCTAAAATGAAACAACGACTACTCGCGGAACACACAAGCCTTACTCTGTAGACTACATGGGATTTGAATCTGACTGTGTGAGAACTTGATGAGCTCCAGCCCCAAACAGGAGGCATCCCAGCCAGCCCAGCTTTGGGGGCTGGAAGGGGGCATCTCTGGGCCAGGCAACCCGCTGAGTGGCTGCCTGGAGCTGCCTGGTGGAATGTATTATTATTTGACTTCCCAACAAAAATGCCAGTTGTCCTTTAGGAAGGCCCAACCCCTGCTGACATGGGAATACCTTGGACAAGGCCAGCTGGCATTATAGTTAGAGTTTGCTTGGTGTTTCAAAGTCCATCAGGGTGAAGGAAGCAGAGGAGAAAACAGAGAGCAGTGGTGATGCATGAGTAAGATGGGCAGTATTGTCATGTCTTCCTAAAAAATGAGATGATGCCACCGTGAAGATGTTTCTGTGCTTGTCCTCAACTCCAGAAGACAGTCTCTCCCCAGTACGTCAAGTTACCGAAGAGCAATTAATCTACTGTTCTTCATCTCTTCACTGGTATGCCAAACACACAAATTGATACAGCACAATATTTGAAATTATCATAAGAACAGTTAATAATTACACCTGAGTTTTTAAAAAAATCAAAACAAAAGAGAACTGAATGGCATCACTAGTAACCAAGGCTACGTGACTAGCCAGATACACATATGGACACCAGCTAATGGGCCGCAGCTAGTCACTGACCAAACTTTGAAACCACCATCCAGAACATTCCTTTCTCTTCCCCATCTCTATCAGGGCATAACAGAGCGCAGGAGAACTATATGTGAGTTTACATCTTTTAAAATAAACCAAAATGAAATAAACAATACAAAGAACACCCCTCCCCGCCCCCCCCCCACCCCGAGAAAAAAAAAGAAAGAAGGAAACACGCCTCATCTCTCGGTAACTTGAACCAATACACTCAGAGAGTATTGCACCTGGACGTTATTATAATTATTCTTTCATAGACTAAAGTTTTATAATATGCCTGAACATGCAGCAGTTGATACCTCTAAATTCAATGAATTAATTCCACAGGCCTTGCAGCAAACACTATATACAAAAATCTCAAATGTACAAAAGGCAAAAAGCTTCATTAGTGCCACTTTGCCACTCACAAGTATATATATTTAGGGGCAGCTGCGAAATCCACGTGCAACAGTTGGAATGGATTCCATTCCCTGCTAAACCAGTTCAGTAAAATAGATAATCAAACGACCTCCAGGAAACATGTACACAAAGCCACAGAGAACCCTTGGAAATCAAAGAATGTAACACTGTTAGCATATCTACAGGAGGTAATGTCACATCCATTAAATAGTGTCCACATGAGTTGCCGTTCCATGCCACACAGAAACAAAACTCCGAGCGCATCTTGCCACCCTGTCAGTTTTCAAATAAGTCGCTCTTCAATCTCCTGATACCCTCTGCATAACCCACGTTTAGCCTCATCCTGCTTGTTCCGAAAGCAGATATTTCATATTTAACTTTACACGTTTAATGTTTAACAACCACAACACAGTAGTACTACCATTTGGGAGAAGTGCGCAAAAAGTGCACGCTGCTGCGGAAAATAAATAGAGCTGGTGCCGGGGACTTAGGACGAAACTGGAAAGAGAATTTGGGAGGCGAGTTTTGCTAGAACCCCAGGGCCTTGGCCATCTCTGCGGTGGCCTCGGAGTTCAGGCAGAACTTGAATAACGAAGAGCACTACTAGTTTCCTTTTCTCTCAATTCACAGAGCCTCACGTGCCACGAAAGCATTAAGAGCATAAACCTTGGACGATGATTTATTAGCCCTTTAATATCTACCTGTATTAACACTGGAATTTATATCGTTTGGCCAATTAGAAAGCCAATATGATCATCTATTTTTCAAATGTTAACGGAGTTCAAAATCAAATTTCTTTTTCTACGGAGAGCAGTTTCTTCCACGAGACACATGCTTACACAACTTCGGCATGCCCCGAAGCTAAAACCAAAGCAAGCGAGGATTGGCCGTTCCAGAGCAAACCAACACAGGGAGCCAGCCCGGGCATCTCCCAGCCTCTCTCCTCCCTGGGCATATGCCTTGAGGGCGCCCATCTTTGGGCTGAGGAAGCACCAGTCTCTTCTACTGGATAGAATATGGCAGATGGTGGCAGGCGGGGGGACTGGAGGGATGAGAAGCAAGAGTTGTCGGGACTCTGCGTCCATGAGCAGAGCCAGAGTCTTGTTAGCTTTTTTTTTTCCTTTTCTTTTCAGTAAAAGGCCTGAAGTCGCTTCCCTGCCAGAAGCCCCCGTGGAGTGAAGCCAGGCTTGCCAACAGACCAGACTCGGCACTGGGTCCAGTGAACTGCTGACGCCACACGATTCTGCATTACTGGTGAGACAGGAACCAAGAGTGCCTTCTGGTCACCAGGTGGGAAGAGGGAGGAGCTGGCCTGGGGGGAGGGAATGCAATAAATAGAGGGTGGACGAGGGACTGGGGCTCCGGGGAGGAAAAGTAGTTCAAGACCGTCCTACGGGAAAATAGCAATCTTCCCAGCGCCCCTGCTTGCAGCATCACCGAACTCCACCTGGAGCGGCTTCTCAGGGCATCAGGTCTTCACCAAAGTAGGAGAAGCCTTTGAATTCCTCCTGGTTGATCTGCTTCACAATCGCTTCGTCCACGAGCGTGAGTACCGGCTCTTCCCGGGTAAAGTCTTGGTCAAAATTATTGACGTCTCTTTTGGTTTTCTGTGGGAAGATAAGAGAAAGCACTGACTCCAGGCTGACCTTCCTCCCCAGGGCCCCCCGCAGGGAGTGGGCATCACGCTGACCAGCCTCTCGCCAAAGCAGACCTCTAGCTACTGAGAGCAGACATCGAGCTGTTCCAATGAGGTAACGATGAATGGCCCCAGGACCGGGAGGTGATGGAGGACTTGGAGAGGAAGAATGAGTCCAGGTGAGAAGGAAGACGGGGTGAGAGGTATGATGGAAAAGCAGGGAAGTGGGATTCCCATAGACTGTGTGTGGGGGGTGGGGGGTGTGTGTGCATGTCTGTGTGTGTGTTGCGGACACTCCCCCTTCCAGCACCTGCCCTAACCCTCTGGCTCCACTGAGACCTCCCTTCCTGTGATCCAGGAAGTGAACTTGAATCTCCCTCCCACAAGGTCTCCAGTGGTCTTTCTTCCATAAAGGTAAACCCCCCATTACCTTGCCATGTCTGCTCCAGATGTCATCTTCTCTATAAGTAGGAGGATGCATGGGATGGGGGGTGGGACCGTCTTCTGGGAAGCCTCCCTTGATCCTCACCTGCTATTCTGTGTTCCCACATTATTTCTATTATTATACTCAAGACACTGACTTGCAGTGAATCGTTAATGCTTTTGTCCTGACCATGAGCTCCTTAAGGGCAGAAGCCTTGTCTGACTCAGCCTTGGGTCCCCAGCAGTCCCCTGCACTAAGCATCTACTGAATGAGTGAATACATCAGCAAGCCCACCACTGACTTCCCAGCTCAGAAAGACCCATACCCAGCGGGAGGTTCAAGTTACCAAAATTGGGCTTATGGTCTGTGGAGGGTGGAGGGTAGCAATCAAACAAATCCTGGGTTTTGGAGAAAATCAGCAAGTATGAATAATGCTCTCTGCCTTTGCGGGTTCACCGCTGAATCGGGAATCAGTATTCCTGTCTAGAACACACAGCAATCATTAGAAAAACTTTCATGGAGTAGTCAGGGCCCGGCTGAGACTTGAAGGATGAGTTACAATCATGTTGGTAGAGATGGGAGGAAGGCACCTTGGCAGAGAGGAAGATGGTTAAGAAGATGGGAGCAAAGTTCTGCAGAACATGGTTTGGGAAGTGCTGCTTTACAGTTTACAGCATTTTCACGTTTATTTGCTCACTGATCCTTGGAACAGGCAGGTGTCATTATCCTGATTTTACAGATGTGGAAACCGTGGCTCACAAAGGTTTGGTGACTTGCCCAGAGTCACCCAATGAGTTCAGAGCAGAGCCAGACTCAAATCCAGCTCTCAGCACGATGCCTCCCGTGGTGTAGAACGTCTGGAAAGCTGGGTACTGGAGACGTGGGAAGACACGGCAAGAGTCAAATTCAAACAGGAGACATTTAGGTCAAACCACTAGGCTGAAGCAAAGCCAGAACGACCTGCTGGTAAACCAGCATGGCGGGAGAGGTCTGTGGGCTGGGGAGAGAGTGGTGACATGGTGAGGTGAGCTTGGCAGGGGAGTCTGCTTTCAAATTTCCCCAGATTGAGATCTGAATCAGATGGACAGCACAGAGCGGAGATGAGCTAGTCTCTCCCATCTTTCAGCACCCATCAGTCCTGCTTGGCGTCTTCTCTCTGGCCTTGAGCTGCAGAGTTCAGTAGGTCTCAGAGACCTTGGAGGGGAGACAAAAGGGGGACACAGAAAAGCCCAAGGGATGGAAACAGGACTTGCCGCAGCAGGATGTGTGTGTCGCCCCTTGAGATGGGAAAACTGAGGAGTGGCTTAGTCTTTTCTACAGGAGGGCTGGTCCCAGGCAAGAGGATGACGCGTTCTCCATCTCCAGTGTGTACAGAGCACGAGGAAAAGGGGGGCTCTCATGGAGAGGGACTCCAGAGGAGAACCACAGAGCCCAAACCCAAGTGACGCATGAGGGGCGTGGGAGGGCAGGTGCCTGGGGAAAGGGTGTGGTGACGCCTCTTCTGAAGATCCCTATCGAAGGAGGGATGGGTTCACTTTGACTGAAGAGGGGTTAGAGGGTATGGGCCCGTGGTGCTGAGGGAGCAGCAGGATGGGGAAAAGGTGGCGGCAAGACTCTTAAGACTTGGGAAGCACTGAGTATCATCCCAGAAGGCGACCAAGGGGCATCCTCAGTGGGGGCAGGAGGAGAGGGGGACCAGGGGCGGGAGTTGGTGAAAAAGATTGGCAAGGAATAGGGCAGGAGGGAAACTCAACTGGTAACACCACCAATGGTGGGCTATGCCCAGGTACTTTCAGGGGCAGGACCACCTCCTTCCTGGCTCCCTCTCACTGGTCACTAATGGGCGAGGGGAGCCAGTGTATAGAGAACCTCAGGAAACCTCTAAACACTCTGGCATCAGCTCCCCTGTTTAACGACTCGTGCTTCGCCTTTCAATCATTTGTGTCCATTAGTCATGGAAACTGGTTTCCTTTCCTGAGGTCAAATGAGCATAGTGACGGAGCTAGATTCCACAGGATGTCTGACTGTCCCAACTTGCTGACTGCTTACCAGGGAATCGGGCTCAGTCAACACAGCTAGGGACCTCATTCCCAGAGGCCCTCTAGCTCCATGGCGGGCTGGCCTGGGTAGCAATGTAGCTCAGCTCTGGGCTTTCCAGTGGTCCCAGAAACATCTGTGGCATTGGAGCGAGTGTGCCATTCTTTAAGAGCTCTACAGAAGAACACACTTGGTTCACGCACCCCTTACACAACCTGGCCCAGACCCTAGTTCCCTTGGAGACAGCTTAGGTGCATGTTAGTCACTCATTCCCAATTCAAATAAATAACAATTCCTGACTATTAATTAACCTTAGAGGCTTAGGGAGTTTTCCAAAGCAAGTATTTCTGAGAAACCCCATCCCCTGTTAATACCATGGAGGCAGCACAGCATCCTCAAATTTAGAGACGACTGGGGATTTTATCCTATGCTCACTGGTTTTACTCTTTGGAAAGCTGCTGTCTCCCTTACAGAGTTGGCACGAGACTCCACTCCAAGGTTCTGATGGGCAAACTCCTAGAGACACTCCCTGTTTAACTGGATCTTTAGTCACCCCATGTGCCTCTCCTAATATCTAAATGCCCGACTCTCAGCCCCCACCGCACAGCCTGAGAGGTGACACTGGGACAGTGGGACAGCCTTCTAAGTCTTCGCACCTCATCTCCTCCATTAAGTCCTTCCCACATCCTCTGGCCCACACGGAAGGAAGGCTGCTGAATGCAGGAGGGAAACGAGCACTGGCTGACCTCCCATCCTGGTTAGATGACACTGTGAAGGTAACCTCTTTGAGCCTTGGTCTTTTCATCTGTAAAATGGGGGTGGTCACAGGTGCCCTACAGATTGCCTTGAGGACTAAATGAGATGCCAGATGTGAGGTGCCTCCGTGCGGACCCCAGCACACAATGGGCACCCAATAAATGTGGGATCCGACCCTGCCTCCGAGTCTTAGCACTGTGTGCCGTGGGCATGCCTCACTCTCTTCTTGGCTGTGTCCCCCAGCACAGCCCATGTGATCTGCCCACGGGTGCCGTGAGCTTCGTGAGGGCAGGGCCTGAGCTCACAGTTCTCTGGATGCTTTCAAATCCTGAACTAGTGCTGAGCCAGGGCCCGCCTGAACATCCCGCGCTTCCTCCAGCCACTGAGATTCTTCCAACGGTGGCTTACTGCTCTCGGAACAAGCCCCCGTTTCTTACCCACTTCTAAGGCCCTCTGGGATCTCGTGCCTGTCCACTTGCCCAGCTTCATCTCCCGGGCCCGGGGGAACCACGAAGTCCTCTGGACTCACTGGCTTTGCTCCTGCAACCGCGTCTTTGTTCAGCTAGTCCTCGGCCCGGAGCACCCTCGCCCCTCCTTGTCTTCTGCCCCAGGTCTTCATCACCGAGCTGACTTCTGCTCACCTTTCCCATCCTGGCTCAGATGCCCTGCTTTCAGGAAGCCTTCTCTGTCCCTCCAGGCCTCTTATGGGGGTTCTACCACCTCTCCTAACTCTCATCACGGCACTTACCACCCTGGGTGTCCGCCTCCTTTTGCAACTAATCTGTGCGCTCCTGGGGGCAGGGACTGGGTTGAACTCGCCATTCCACCCCCGGGATGGCGTACTGCCTGGCACACAGAGAGTGCTCAAGAGATATCAGAGGAAAAAAGTAATCGAATGCACGTCTCTTGCTGCTGCTTTATCTAGAGCCACTGAAGTGATCTGGGTTCAGAACCTGTGGCACTCTTGTGCCAGAGGGTGTTTTTGTTTGGAGAAGGTTGGGGTCTGACTCACAAAGAGCCTGGAGCAGGGCACCCCAGCCCATGGCTGCCCCACAGCACCCTGAGAGACAGGCAGGCTTAGGTCTGGTTAATGGGGTTTCCTCTCCCTGCAGTGGTCAGCCTGGGCCACTAGGGTTCCTTGACTGCTGGTCTGAGAAAGAAAGAGGATGAACCAGGGTTTGGGCAAATTCTACCAAGGCAGATGGGCTAAGAGAAGTTTACGGACTTGGTGGGTATTTGCAGCTGGTGTCAGGGGAGAACAGCATTCCTCTTGCCTTTGGCTTCATTGAGAAGTCAGGTCTTGGATTTGAGGCCTGGGGCTGACCCTGGGGGGGAGGGCACACTTCTGGCATCTGCAGCAGGGGAGTGAGGTAGAACTATGGAAACAGAGTTACAGGTCACTCCAGATGCCCCTGAGAAACTGCAATTGAGAGGCAAAGGTAGGGGACCTGCCTTTTAAATCGCCCTGAGGCCACTGAGGGCTGGAGGCTCAGCCGACTGTGGCAGTGTCTGGACCCCAGTGCGGACATGGGCAGGCTGCCTGTATGCTCGCTTCCTGTCTGGCTGGCGCAACTCTTTCATAGCCCTCACTGAACTGAAGTCATAAATACAAGCTTTCAGAGGAGCCAGCGATTTCTGCTTCTGTCTTTATCTGATTACGAGATCAACAGATGACTTTGTTCTAAAGCACCGAGAAAACTCCCTGGTCTTACAGGCCGGGGCACGGGGCTGTAGTCACCGTGCTGGTCCCACAC